CAGCTCTGCCGGGTGTATTTTCGCTTTCTTGGCTGTATGCTGGGACATGATTGTGGTAGGTCTCTCCCTAGCTGTTTGTATGTGTCTCCGTGTCGGGTATGCTGGTGTACTTGCTGTATTCTTCTTTACCCTCGTCGGAGCTGGCTTCTCACACGTCCATTACCGCGAGCAGCCAGGCCACGCCCCAAAACAGATATATATTTTTTTTTTTTTAAAGCTCTTTTTTTTATCACAAATAACATACATTTAAAATTCAAAAAAGCAATATGTTCATTTATATACATTTGGCTTGTTTCAGACCGATATTTTTTACTGAACTGAATCGCCAAGCGTCTATATAATATCAAACTTTAACATATTAATCATTACATACATTTAAAAGGAAATACATTTTCGAACAGGAGCGTCTTTAACTCTGTATAAATCTTTATTATAATACTTAATTTTAATATTCATATTATTGTTTTTATTGCACAGGAATAAATTAGTATGTTTTATTTGATTTTCTCATTTAATTTTTTCCAACCACGTTTCAAAATTTTTTTGTTTCTCAGTTAAATGTGTAATATTTATGGACAAACCTTTTTTCCATATGTGTTTGATATTTTAATTGATTTAAAAAAAGAGATTTTTTTTGAACGGATTACTGGATTTCCAATTTCTGGCTATCAATATTTTTGAGGCCATAAGACAATGTATTGCTAGACATTTTAGATATTTTGTTATGTTCCATTTAGTATGTAATAATGCTATTTTAGGTCCCCATTTAAGATTTCTAATTGATAGGCTTTTAAAGTAGTTATAGGCCCAAGTCCATAAAGGTTTAACCAAAGGGCATGACCGCCATATATGAATAAATGATTCAACTGGATTGCCACATCTTCAACAGTTTGGAGCATAATCCGGGTACATCTTGCATAATATAATGGGTACCAGATACCATTTACACATAATTTTAAACTGGCATTCTACTAGATTTTGACAATTAATATTCTTATGTAGTTGTGTCAATATAGTGCACCATTCTATTTCTGATATTTCCAATTTTAAATCATTATTCCATGAGTTAATTATTTTTCATCTGATTGGCTCTAGACATTATTTTGTTGACCTTCTTAAAATATATTTTCTATGTATTTAGAGCATTGTCAAGAACTAATTAGTAGGGTTGTATTTTAAAAAAAATGTTTTATTATTAAATAAGTAAAGATTTCTTTACTTGGAATTTGATATTTTGATACAATATCGAAAAATGCTTCAATATACGCGCTATAGTGATTTCATTAGTATTTGGCCATTTTTTTAAGGACAGTTCTTCCACATTATCTTCTAACAAGATCAGTCTACATGACTTTGGTATTTTCTGATTTAAGTCTAAACTTTTTTTTTTTATTTCTTCCTATATTTGAATAATTTGAGCTAAAATGTGGATTTATCTTGAATTTGACGTATATATTTTTTACTACTTTTACACCATAAGTAATATTCTAGTCTTTCAACAACCACTGCTTCTGACTCAATAATATACCATGGCTCTGTCAACATTTCAGGTCTCAACACAACCCCCTCTTTGACATAATAGTCATGAACATACTTGTTTTTGTTTTCAGCGGTGGTACACCAATTAGGATAACCTGATGCCTCCTGCTTGTCTCTGAGATGAACCTTGATGTACTGGTCAAACAATGTGTCGGTGGATATAGGAAAATGCCAAATTTAAAAGATTTTGACTAATATGTAGCCTTTATCCAAAGACATTTGTATTTCATTAGTATACCATGTGCCTGTCAAAGAGCGTTCCTCGTCTGTATGTGTGCATGGACTCATTTGATTATTTGAACAGCAAGTATGACACAGGGGGAACATGAGCTTACCATTCATTTTAACAGGCAGTACTGGGAAAAATAAGCCTCTAGGAGGGTACATTTTTACTTTTGCAATTCCAAAATATTTGTTAAAAGGCTGGAAGTTATTATAAATGATTTCTGGATGACCCGTGGGGTATCTTTTTGTTTTATTTACATATGGGTACAGACTGGTGAAATCATAATAGTGTATGCGCTCACCAGGGGCTGTTTTGTGAGTTTGTTGTTTTAGCATTTGTAGACAATGAAGCTTTTTCAGGCGCATATGACAGAAATCCACTGTATTTCAAACATAACAGCGTGAATTTTGCAGCGCTATACCTGGATGGTGAGCAAATCCCTTCAAAACCATTCCAACCGGATTTCGAACATTCTAATGCAGTGCGTGAATATATGTAATTTTTATTACTGGCGCAGAAAAGCTGTGGCGATTCGGGAATCATAATAAACAGAGATGAGTATGTGTCAGGCTACACACTGTTTGCATTTGACTTATCGCCGGACCAGGAATGCAACAGTCATTTTTCACTAATCCGTAGCGGTAACCTTCGTGCTGAAATCCACTTTGCAAGGCCCTTGGAAAGAACTGTTAATATGCTAGTTTATGGGCAGTTTGATAATATAATTGAAATCAATCAAAGACGCGAGGTCCTTTATGACTTTCTCTAAGTATAAAAATTAACACTTTGGAAATCACAAAAATTCTACGTACAGACCCAGATTGTCAAAACATATTTGATGGTGTATATCCATACGATCTACTACCCCCGCACATGGTGGAGCGTGTACCGACGGCGTATGTTATAAATACGGACCCACATACAGCCCCAGGAGAGCACTGGTTAGCTGTTTACATTGATTCAAAAAGACATTGGTATTTTTTTGATTCATATGGCGTGTCACCAGAAAACCATCTTTACCCAAAAGAAATTTTTAAATTTATGAAAAAGAATGCTAAAGAAATCTATTTTCAAAACATGCAATTGCAAAGCACCCTTTCAATAGTCTGTGGTGAATTTTGTATTTATTTTATTACTAATATGTGTAGAGGTTTAGATTTTAAATCTGTTTTAAATAATTTTAGTGTCAACCTAAAGCAAAATGATTTTATAGTTAGAAGCTTTGTGCAGAAACATAGGCGATATCTAAAAAATAGAAAAACACATAGCATTCATGTGCAGAGATGCACGAGGTGTAAACCTAAAACTTGAAATATTGTTTATCATAACGAAAATTCGAAAAACTGCATTTTTGTAACATCAAATTCTATTTCAAATAAAACCATTTTTATTTGTCATGACAAAAAGGCTCTCTGTAATTCTTTGTTCAGTCTGACGGGGGGGGGGAGGGTAGGGAGAGGGAGGGTGTGTGTGGGGGTGTGGATGGGTTTCTCTGTATAAAAATAGCCCTGTAAGATGCAGCATTCACAACCCTTTGAAGGATTCAGAAGAACATCAGACTGTCAGCGAGCCTCTGTCTACACGCAACCAGCCTCTGCCTACACGCAGTCAGCATGAATACCAAGGTAAAGGAAACTAATATTTACTTTGACAAATATATAGCATAGCGCTGACACACCAAATATATCTTGTTTTTATTAAAAATGTTTTGCTATGTTTTTTCACGGTAGCGTTCTTAGTTTTTAGTACCAATTATACAACATTGTATACGTTTTATTTTTAGCCCCTTATTATTTTTTCATTACCCCAGTACGACTATTTATTTATTTATTTTAAATTATATATGAGATTTCTATATTTTTTGCATTAAGTTTGCACACCGTGTATGGTATATTTTTTACCCGATTATAACTTTACATTAACGCGTTGTTGAAATTCTGATCAAGATACCAATCACACATGGGTGTTATTTAGTTTTATTATCACTATTATGTATTAGCAGTATTAATGATGAAAAAAAAAATCAGCGGTAACAGTGTGAAGTCTTTTTCAGCATGGTGACACACCGTTGTTTAATGATGTTGATGAGCTTGACACATTGCCTGATAACGCTCAAGATCTAAAGTCGCCATTAGAAAGTACATATTTAATGCGATTGTATATACGTATAGTAATGAAAAAACCTGTTCTGTGGTCGTTTTTTTGTAGTATTACTAGATGCTTTTAGCATGCTGGAATTAAGCAACTCGTTTGTTGAAACCGTTATAAACAACTGCAACCAGAGACCTCTTCAATTACCTAACCACGGTATGTAATAAAATCTGGTTGTGACTTTTATACCCCAGCGTTATAAAATGTAATTTCCTCACAGATATTTATTTATTTTATATTATTTTATTTCTTCACAGTAAATTCTGATAACCCAATAAGCCACGAACAAACCGATCCCGAGGGTAGTACACACAACATGCAGTTAGCACAGCACGATGTACTACCACTCAAAGATACAACGCGGTCAAAAGAAAAAGTTAAATCTGGTAAGTATTAAGTAGTTTTAAGATCCCTTGATAAATATATATTTAGTTCATGTCTGATAGAACAATATAAACCTGTGTAGAGTGTCTAGAACGCTTAAATTATTAGTGTACCTTGGGGGTACTAAACACTCACTTTTTTTTACTTATCATTTATATAGTTTCAAAATTGTCTAAGACACGGAGACAGGCATCTGAAGCTGTGTCGCAAAAAGCTGCATACAATCACACCAATGAAAATCAAGACCCAGAGATAACACAACTATAAGTTACACATGTGAAGACATCAAAAAAAGCATTGCTTAATGAGACATCCAAAAATTCTGCGGTTGTGAGGAACCCAAACAAAACAGCGTGTGTGGAGAGTGCAAAAACGTCCAGGGGTAAGTCAACAAATATAAAACTAAAACAAGCATCAGTTTTGCGACAAATACAAAATGTGGCTATGAAACGGCCTGCTACACCTGTAGATACATCGTTCAGAGAAACTGCTATGTTTATTAATGGGTTAAGCCTTCCCCCAAAGCCTCATTGACAGCCACTAGAGACGCTTGCGTGCTTCTCACTGTGATTTTCACAGTGAGAGCACGCCAGCGTCCATAGGAAAGCATTGTAAATGCTTTCCTATGCGACCGGCTGAATGCGCGCGCAGCTCTTGCAGCGCGTGCGCATTCAGCCGACGGGGCGGAACGGAGGAGGATCGGAGGAGGAGAGCTCTCTGCCCAGCGCTGGAAAAAGGTAAGTTTAAACCCCTTTCCCCTTTCCAGAGCCGGGCAGGAGGGGGTCCCTGAGGGAGGGGGCACCCTCAGGGCACTATAGTGCCAGGAAAACGTGTATGTTTTCCTGGCACTATAGTGGTCCTTTAACACCTGCAAATGGTTCTGTGACTAACAAAGCCCCAGCAACAATGTCAGACCCCACAGATGATCATGCTGTTGTGACTGGCACAATACCCCAACCCCTGTCGTTACAGCCGGTGGTTCCAAACCCTGAGCATAATTCCCCTGTGGATATACGGTCACATTTGTTAAATCCCCATAATGATGACAATCTGGTACACCAAGGGCCTCCAAGTCCTCAGAGTAGCCTTGATGTGAATGTGCAACAAGAAATGCAGAATAACCATGATGATGTTGTTGCCCCCCTATTTTTAGAGCATGTTGAACAACATCGAAGGGAACTAAACAATTTTAATGCTGTGGAGTTTTATGATCATTTTCGTTTTGTAAATTTAGAGAGAATGCCATCATTTGCTGCAGCAATAGAGTTGATGCATGATGCTATTGAAGGGACTTTGGGCAGAATTTTACCCGGTATAGGGCCTAATGATTTTGTACAATTAAGATTGACTGCTGATGGCCTCTGTAGACCTTTGTATTCTATTAGAAGGTCTAAGGAGGGCATAAATGCTGTGGATTTTTTAAATGCTCTGGCAAATATGCTTCAAAGCAACGCAGAAATTATTGGTTGTGGTTCTTTATGATTTTGTATTATCATTGTTAGGAACAGAGCTGGGGGTGTAATGACACGTAGACGTCTCAGTTCAACACCATATAGTCGCATTATCCAGACTAAGAGAAGGTGGTTGTTTGATTTTAATAATAACAACAATAACTTGTGTCTGGCGGCTAGTCTCTGCGCCCTTAAAGATAAAGAAGTACCCACTGATGCTGTGTTGTTGGAGCAAGCACAAAGTATTCATAAAGCTCTGAGTATCCCTGATGATCGCTTAGTCAGCTTTAGCGATATACCGGCTTTTGAGAATCATTTGGATGTCACCATTAAGATTCTCTATCACAACCGTGGTGCATGGCGATACTTTCAGTCCGATGCCATTGTCAAGAAAAAAGTAATGTTCATATATCACGAAGGAGAACATTATTATGGCATAAAAAAGATTAAAGCATTTATCGGGGCCTCTTACTTTTGTGATTACTGTCATACACCTTTTTATCACAAAAATGATCATTCATGCCGTTACTTTTGCAAGGCGTGTCACAGACAGAATTGTGTGGATGTTACAAGTGAGCTCCCCAGATGCCCCTTCTGTCGCACACTTTGTCGTTCTGAACAGTGTTTAGAGCTACACTATGAGCTTGCCAACGCTGGTAAAATAGCTTGTAAAACCAAAACATATTGTGATTTGTGTGGGCGTTATGTTGTCATGGAAAATCATGAGTGTGAAGGTCTTAAGTGTCAAGTGTGTTATCAGCCAGTGGCCACGTTTGATGATCATGTTTGTTACTTGCAAAAATACAAAACTGATGATCCCACAGACAAATACATGTTTTATGATTTTGAATGTATGCAGGAGACAGGCATACACATACCAAATTTTATCTATGCAGCCCACTTAGAATGTGACGACCGTTCGCCACTAGAGAAGCGTGTTGGCTCAACCTTAGAACCAACTAAATGTTGGGAGTTTCAGGGTGCAGAATGTCTGGCGGACTTTGTTCGGACATTTATTGATCCACCGTTTAGTGGCTACACATTTATAGCGCATAATGCCGGTCGTTATGATGCATACTTTGTGGTGAACCAACTACTTAAGGAGCAAATTGAGGTAAAATTACTGGCTCAAGGGGGTAAATTACTCGGTGTTACTGTCTCTGATTTTGGTATCCGGTTTATTGACTCATTAAATTTCCTACCCATGAAATTGAGCAAGCTACCACAGGCCATGGGTTTCGAAGGTTGCAAAGGTTATTTTCCACATTTTTTTAACACTTTGGAGAATCAAAATTATATTGGCCCAATGTCCTCTGTTGACTATTATGGTGTTGCACAGATGATGCCTGATGAAAAAAGTCATTTCATGGACTGGTATAAGTCAAACCAGCACTGTGAATTCAACTTGAACTTAAAAAATATTGTATTGAGGATGTTAATATCCTGAGAGAGGCATGCATGTGCTACAGAGCTAGTGTTATGGAAATGACAAGAAAAGAAAGAACAATTAAGGGTGATCGTGGTCCTGAAGTTGTCATAGATTACATTGACCCTTTCCAACTCACGACCCTAGCCTCTGTATGCATGGCCATGTACAGATTCAAATATCTACCTAAGAACACCATTGCCATTATCCCCTCTGACAATTACCATAAAACTCAGAAGCGGTTTTCTACATCATCTATACAGTGGCTGATGTATGTTGAACATACAGAGAAGGTCACCATACAACACGCCTTACAGGGTGGTGAAAAAGTTGTTGGTAATTACTTTTTGGATGGTTACGCTCTGATCAATGGTAAACCTACAGCAGGAGGCAGGAGGCATCAGATTATCCTAATTGGTGTACCACCGCTGAAAACAAAAACAAGTATGTTCATGACTATTATGTCAAAGAGGGGGTTGTGTTAAGACCTGAAAGGATAGAGGTAAACCCTGCAAAAAGACAAATTGCAAAATTATTTCTAAATTCTTTATGGGGTAAATTTGGACAGAAACCTAATTTGCAAACCACTAGTCTGGTGTCTGACCCTGATGAACTTTTTGGCTATGTATTTTTACCACAATATGAAGTATCATCTTTAGATTTCATAGATGACTCCACCGCCATGCTTAGCTGGAAAAATGCAAAAGGTTTGGAAGGCATGGCTCGTAACACTAATATTTTTATTGCTTGCTTTACCACAGCCTATGCCCGACTTGAACTATATAATATCCTAGACCGTCTAAAGGCAAGATGTTTGTACCATGACACTGACTCGGTTATTTTTGTTAGCAAAGATGTAGACTGGAACCCACCGCTAGGCGACTATCTAGGTGAACTAACTAGTGAGTTACCGGCTGACACATACATCACAGAGTTTGTGTCTGCAGGGTCTAAAACTTACGGTTACAAGTTGACGACTGACAAAATAACTCTAAAGGTGAAAGGTATTACACTGAATGCTAGCAACGTGACGCTGATTAACTTTGACAGTTTGAAAGACCTGGTACTGGACTATCCACAACACCCAGGGCCTGATGACCGGAAACATATTATAATACAACAAACGGGGATCGTCAGAAACAAATTGTGTTGGCAAATAGAAACACGACCACTTCGCAAAACACAGCAGTGTGTATACACTAAAAGACTATTGACAGACAACTTTACAACCCATCCATTTGGATACTAATTACACACAATGGACACATGCCTGCAACACCCTTTTTCGTGTATCTTAGCGGGACCTTCTAGCTCAGGAAAAAGTTATTTTGTTAAACAACTTTTACATTATGCTAACAATCTTTTGTCGCAGAATCCTGATAACATTGTTTGGTTTTATGCATGTTGGCAGGGTCTTTATGATGATTTATTGCGTGCGATTTATTGGTTCTCTGCTGGGTTTTGCTATACCGCTTCTTACCGATAATGGAATATGCTGAAAAAATTTATTTGGTTCCAAAAAAAGAGTTGGATCTAATACAAAAGAACACTCAGCAATCTGCCACTGCTCATGAGTCTGTAAATCAAAGGCTTGATGCGGACATTATGTCTCTACTTCAAAGTAGAAATATGCCAACAGCTGAGAAGATATCAAGGTACACCACAATACTGCAAAAATATTTACTACATGCAAAGCAGAGTGACAAGGAAAAGCTGAACTTAACACTTTTATTACCACCGGGAGATTCCACACCTATGGACACACATCAGCCACCAATTACTGATCCAGCTCATGTTTCGGATAATGTCATTAGTGATGTACTCCATAATGTTCATGACCGCTATAAAAAGAACACTGAACTGTTGCTTACTAGAATGACGCATGCCAAACACATTGCAAATTGGAATGATAAGGGAGAGTTTGTTTATAAAAATAATGTTGCACCTGGCTCTAATATCCTGGATCTGGTTCGGAGTGTTACGCAAAGTCATAGTGTTACAGTACGCAAGAGACCTCAGGGCTGGGACAGTTTTTTTCAGGCCATGGCTGACCTCAACATCCCTTCTACAGTTGTAGGTAACTCTTTCGAATAGAGACTATCTGGATCATTTGAAAATTCATAACCATGCGACTATAATTCCATCTGTAACACCACAGTCACCGCTACAAAATTGGGGTTCACTAACACATATGCCATTAACAGCATCAGGGCTAACTACACCCCATGGCTATTTACTACCTAGAAAGCGTTCATATACAAGGCATACCCCTGCGTGGCTAAAGTTTTAGTTGTCTATATACATAGCTATATAATCACCCCTGTTTTCTGTACTTTAATGGATTGAAACATATTATGTTTTTTATTCAGGCGTTGTTCTTTTTTTTATTGTATATAATACTGCCTAATAAATACATTTTGTTTTAAAACATATCGCTTATTGTCCTGGTCATTTTTTTATTTTTTAATTTTTTTGCCTTCTTATTATCTATAAAAAATGTTTCCTCTATTATGTAAAATATGGTCAAAATAGAGGTGTGGGGGCCAAAACATGTTCTAGTTATCTTAAATACGCATAGGGCTTGGTTTACACTTCTTTTTTTTTTTTTTTTTTAAAGCGCTCCTATCCCCTAAAACATGCCCAAACATGTCCTGCTTGTCTGTAAATATGCATAGGGCTTGGTTTACAATGCGTATGCACTGCCTTTCTTGGTTCATACGCAGTGGGTGCACACGCTGCTGGTGTGGTGGCGCATCAGGGGTCGTAGTTCAAAGGTTCGCGCATGCTCCGTGGTCGCTCCAGCATTGGGCGTGGCAACACGTTGTGGATGTGGCTTCATGGTAAAGGGGCGGGGCTGGGCGCGCCATCATTGGGCGTGGCAACACAGCTGTTGAGGGCGTGGCTTTATGGGAAAAGGGGCGGGGCACCTGTCAAATTCTAGTTTGATGACTTATATAGGTCCCTTCTACTTACCCTCATCATTAGATTCCTCACTACCACCACCACCAAGACTAGATATTAGGCACACTACTTGGGTCATCTGATATAACATTTAAAAAAAGTTGCACTATGTCAGGGTATTTATATCGGCAGACATCTTGTGCTATGATAGAAATTAAAAGTGTATATTCTGAGTCACTTTGAACAGACCAGACTCCATTTTGTTATTTTCAAGTTAACAAAGAGACACGAAAATTCTATCCTATCTGTAAAACTAACCACGTTCCCAGAGCTAAAGGAATGCATAGTATATACAAACCAAGTGATAAGGAGAACGGGGGTTGGACAGACTGTCTAAAATGTTAATGGAATAGATGCATATCTAAACACAGACATTTGTGACAGAGGAGATTAAATAATAAAATTTTACTTTCTGATGAAATATTTACTCAACTGGTAATTATACTGGTTTCATTTAATTAATTAAATTAATTAAAATTTACTAATAGCATGATATATGACTGGATAAATCACGGTCAGATTTCCATATTAAGAAATCTTAGTTAACTAAAGAATATATAGTTATAAACATTACATTCTGCAGGTGGAATTAAGAATAATTATATATTGATGTGATATTATCACGTGTTAGCATACCGCTGTTTTTATCCAGGTGTATTGATTTGCTCTTATATAAGATAAGATATCTTTTAGACAAATTAAATTCTGCTTATATAACATGGTAGATTCTCTTATTAGATGGTTCCAGGAAATGACTAATGAACTGGTTTAAATGTTATTTTATTTAAAATTACATAAGAATAGATCTTAATTACCTAGGAGATCTAGCCAGCATTGAAAGGGTTATTCAGTTATTCTAACTGTTAGCCAGGGTTTTATGGCCCTTCGCTGTGAAAAGCTTTGCTTTCTCTCTGTGAAAGATAGTCATAAATCGTGTAAGTCTTGACAGAAAATGCTGTTTAGCCATTGAAACGTGTATAGCCATTCCTTTGTATTGCATATCATTTTATACTGGATATTCATTGATTATTGTCACGCATGTTACATATTATTATTAATTAGTTATTATAAAATAAAATCTATTTTTATAACAAAATTGTGATTTTATTTATATGAAATACTTTTCACTTAACACGATAACGACCTTTGGGATCTGAGAATTGAATTAGTGGGCAATTCTCACTGTTTACTATTATTATCCCATAAATATCCCCACAACTAATGGCACCAATATGGTTTCAATTGAGCTCTCCCTTAGCTAGTTCTTGGAAACAGAGGGTAACACAGGCAAGGGCAACACGTTTTCTGGTTTCACCGATACCTTGCTCTAAGCAACATACACCTTGTAGCAGGGTAGTAGTATTATCCACGGTATCTCCGCTGGTAGACAGAATCAAGCAGGCACAAAGCAGGTAAAATCTAGGTAGCATAATTACAATCCCTTCCTCCCAAGAACTAGATGACACATAGCTTGGAGGTCAACTGAGGTTTATTTTCAGGTCACGGTATTTATGGGATTCCCCATGCAAGGGGTTTCCCTACTGACATTCCAGGGGTTGTACAGTAGGGGACTACATGGGGAACTGACCAACACACACAATTTTCCCATCATACACTGCTGGACGTGAGGGATACTTCCACTGGAATATACCGTTAATGGGATTATCCCTCCGTGCTGCAGAACTCACATTTTACATTAAAATACATAACTTTAACAATATTCACTAGTTTACACGAATGGATGTTCGGTAGATAGCTGGAGGCTGAGCGCATCGTTCGTGAGATTACCGCTCAGCTCCCAGTCTAACTAACCGAACGCCGTATGAAATACACATAATTTCTAACATAGGTTTTAAAATAACGATTATCGTAAGGGGAATAAACTACCGAACGGCCGAGGTTCCCGAACGGCCTGGAAGTCCAGCGGTGTTCGCACCGTCAAGTAGCCGTTTTTAGTTCCAGGCGCTCGACGACAAAACACCGCTGGGCTAACAAAAGAAACAAGATGGCCGACCGCCGCGTGGTCGTTATTCGAATGATGGCCACCTAGAAACACTCTTAATTACCGATTGCAACATTGTTGCAATCGGTTAATGGGTGCCACACGACCCCCTGTGTGTGGTCGTGCGTTCGGTATGTTATTCGTTTCACGAACAGTGTTTAACTCACTGTTCGTGAAACTTCATTAGGAATGCTGGGGTTTTCATACCGCCAGCATACGAATGCCCTCATTCACCTGAAATACAAATAGTATTGATTTTTATGGCTTAGCAACAATACACACATCCTTATACATTGATAGTCTCTGGTGGCTAGTTTTGCCACAATGCTCCCCCAGAACCAAGCCGGCATACACAGTCTGATCCCAATGGATCGGCTTGGGGATGTCAGGAGGAGTACTCACAGATCACTTCTCAAGTTCAGTTTGTCTGGATAACCCGTCAAAAGGCTGCAGCGCCAAACTCCAGCACAACAGCCTGGCATTGTCCCCTGACACCCGGTTCAGCCAGACCAACGGGTTGTGATCTGTGAGTAATGCAAATGGTTGTCCGTATAAATATGGTTGCAGTTTTTTGAGGGCCCACACCACGGCAAGGCATTCTTTTTCAATGGCGGCATAGCTTACTTCTCGGGGTAAAAGTTTTCTACTTAAGCAAGCTATGGGATGCTCGCCGCCATCTGCTCCGACTTGGCTCAGTACTGCTCCCAATCCAAACATAGAAGCGTCTGTATGGACGAGAAAGCGTTTAGTTGGATCAGGAGCAGCGAGTATAGGTGTGTTAACAAGAGCAGTTTTAAGTTGCTGGAATGCCATTTCACACTCTGGGGCCCATACTACTAACT